AACAAACAGAACACAACAGAAATGTCCACAAAGACAAACAAATTCAAGTAAAAACAAGAACACTCCTAACTTGTTTGTCAAGGCCAGAAAACATCTAGATAATCACACGGAAGCAGGGCATTTATTTTTATCTGTCCAGGCCTTATATATCGTGATGCCACGTTAAAACATCAAGTTGCCAAAGACATGACACCGAAGTAAATTCCAGTGATAGAGGTCTCTTGAAACCACTTTTGTCAGTCTCAGTCTTAGTATGGGTTTTGGACGAGTAAGTTTAACAACGGCTTTTCAAGTTTTCCGGTTTCGGATCACGCAAGACCATTAAAAAGAGGCGAAGATGCCTAACTGTATTCTTCATACCCGTGTTCAGAAATTTATCATCACACTACAACTAAAGTGGCAAACTTTCACGTGTTGGAGACAACTAGAAAAAGAACTTGGTCCAGAAAGGCGTGATCTTCCTCATCAATTTGCTTCAAAAAGGCAAAGTTTGATGCACAAGCTCTAAAAGCGAGAGTATCAGGTATGATGTTAAACGATTAAACGCAGTAGTCCTTGCAGGTTTTGTACATAATTATCTCTTTTCTCTATATAAAACATTCGGAAGTGCCAGAATCCAGTGAGCCCAACCTCCTACAAGGACGTATCCAGAATAAAATTGGGGGTAGGGATTTCTGTATTTGACCTTGACTTACCTTTCTGGGAAGGAACGGTGAAAATGAAAGTTTCAAAATAAGCCTCGATTTCTCATCATAATATGTAAAGAAAGTACTCCTGGGCACGAATGCTCAGTCGAAACGCTGCATCCTTTACCTCCAACCTTTTCCTTTAAAAAATATATTTATAATGCTGATCTCGGAATTCATATTCATGTCGTTTACCTCACAACTATAAACGCAGTTGCTTGATTAGGCCAACTTACGTCTGCACAATTTTGGTGCAATGTCTAGAATGCAGGTTCAAAAGTGTGTAGGCCTAGTCACTGACAATTAAAAAAACTCTATTTTCTTAAACATTTAAAATGCTTATATTGAGGAAAATGTTAAGTTATGAATACTGAACCATGCACCAAGGACACGTTAAAATTACTGAACGACTTGAGACAGTCATTAGCGAAGAAAACGTCCGAATGCCCGTGTCTCTGCGGGCTTCCATTGTTCCCCAGACAACGTCACAGTACTGCCAATGTACTGACCTGAGTCACACAACCTCAAGGCCTCGGACGTATATAAAAAAAAACCTGGACTTGCAATACCTTTGTATGAAATAGAAGCCAACCAGCGGCCATTTTACCGACGGAGCCGAATACAAATGCGCGGGTTGGCTCGCTTCTATTGACGCCAGGGAGAGCAAATGCGGGTATTGCCGGGCAAGCTTTGTATTCGACTCAGTAAAATGGCCGCTAGTGGATTCAATTCATCTCTATAAGCTGATTAAGGGCATTGCGAGTCCAGAATTTTTTATGTATACGTCCGTGCTCAAGGCCCGTCCAGAAAATGTCGACATTGTGCCTCCCTTGTCCGACTCAATTTATTACCGTCAATTGCAGAAACACTGATTGTACAGGACATTCAGAATAATTGCGCCACAAGTTTGTAAAGGGTTAGGAGTCCTGTAAATTGGCTATTTGGTCGCGGCTGTTGGATGTGGTTGAAATGAAAAAAATAGCCTGGATGGACAACAACTGGGCAAACGTCGCTGTTGCGAGCATGATGGAAAGATGATATATCAGCGGGCAAGTGTTGAAAATGCTTTAATAGTGCATCAACAAAAGGCATGTGAGGACTGCGGAGGGTAAAAACATTACAATTCCAACAACAATTCCAACATTTAATTTTTGCGAAGCTTCTTCGGTTGAAAGAAAATAACTTGGCGCCATTATTAAATTGGCGCCTTATTCAATTTTGTCAACCAGCAAAGAATGTGGTCTACGTTATCGATAATTCTTCCTAATGTAATTTTTGGATATCTGAGTCTATGGTGGAGGATTAGTATACGCTTTTTACTGTCTATGAATTTTTGTGTAATTCGATTAATTCCACATCTGGGGGGAATATAATATTTGCACATTTGATTAAAATTTTGATTAACGTTTCATTGCATTTTGCGTACAAAGCAGATGCGAAAATGTAGGCAATGCATTGTGATCTCTCGATTCGGGAATATCTATCGTGGATGAATCGATACTTTCACCAACCTTCGCTTAAGCCAGACATTCTCGTAGACGGAGCAGAGTGAGAGCCAGATTTTCGAATGGGGGGAACAAAACTGAGAATTTTCTTATATAACCTTTTTAATGGCCCTTGTAAATGTCACGGTTAAATTTAGCATCTACACTGTTATGTCAATTGTTATTACAAATGTCATGTTAATGTACAGAGGCCCATTTTGTTCATGAACAGATTTTTATTTGTGGATTTACGGAGAGGTTCTTTTCTGACAAATAGTTTTCTTTGTGGAAACAACGTTGACGAGGTTGAAGGAGGCTGCTTACAAGGTTGAGGGAGTTTACGTATGATTTTCGTTGGTTCATCACCAACGAAAATCATACGTAAACTCCCTCAACCTTGTAAGCAGTAAGCAACAACCTTGTTGTCATCACCAACGAAAATCATACGTAAACTCCCTCAACCTTGTCAGCAGCAATTTAAACCCTTGTGGGAGTTTACGTATGATTTTCGTTGGTGATGACATTAACAAGTTCGGTTTTTATTTCATGCGTTTAGACATTTTTCCTCACCTGACCGATGATCACAGTTGCTACTAGACTGATCTATAATCGCACGCAGCTTGCTTATATGTGCATCGCTTTTTCTTTCGACTTTAGTCACAGTTGGCATGATGGCAGGTTAAAAACATATTGTTTCAGCAACTCTTATTTCATTGGCACACAAGATAACTCAGAATAAAATTCGTTCTCCACAAAAACATTACCTGTTACTCGCATAAAAAGGAAAGACGAGAAAAATGGCAAAATCAGCTTTAGGAAAGTGGTTTTGTGCACCAAATTCGACATGCAAATTGATGCCAATTAATATTACAGAGGAAACTTGTATATTTACAAAACTTTTTGCAGGGTTCAGTTACACAAAAAAGTCACTTTACAGTCAGGAAGTGCGTCCGTTACCAAGATTCTCTGTTAATTTCGGATACATTTTACAGAAAACCCATTGTAGCACAACACAATTTTCAACAGTGTACATTGTAGACACGTTTTGGAAGGAACGGAAATGAAAATGCCTTTATCTTGGGTAATTTGTCCGGCCGAAACAAAAGAACAAATTTTCCGGGGGCAAGGCTCCGCTGCCCCCCCCCCGGATTCGCCAGAGTTCCCGTGTCGCATCGCCTCCGGCATGTCAGACATTTGACTTAAGTCGCCCTTTTAGATCATGAAGTCTTCTTGTTTTTGTCATTTCGTTTTTTTGCTCGTTGTACTTTAGAGACGTCTAAATTAAGGCACCTTTCCGTATGCGCGTCAACAGTTGCGGGAAGCGTTGCGGGGCAACGGGGCGATTCTGACGGCCGAACGCCACGCACGCTTGTGTTATGTTAAATTAATGGAGTTGATTTTTGTGTCCGTGAGAGTGAAGCGCGGGAACGCATCAGGTACGCAATGCAACAAAAAAAACGTACATAATCGAAAGACGCCTTCACGCTGTTTTTGCCTCCTCAGGAGTTTTGCAAAAATCAAATAAATTGATAAGGACATGAAGCACGAGGAACACCCTGGGATTACCCAGTGAGGTCAAGATCGGTCACTACTTCAGTTAGTTTGCCTTTTCCAACCCTCTTCTTTCGATATAGATTTACTGGCAAGGACTGGTCTACAACAAATGGGGGCGGGGCATTTTTCTGACGGGTGGGGTAAATTAAGGATAAGTTTCTTATGTGGTGTGGCTCTTTTACTGATCTCTTCATGTTACGGAGGAATGAAGCGGACCTCAAATTGCCTATATCTTCATTATAATTTTACATGCCTCCTTATGGGACAGGACATGGCGTCTGTTGCCCACCAACCTCTGTGGTTGGGGCAAATGAACAAAATGAAACTACAGACTAACAAAACGGTTTGAGGATATTCAAACAGATGGGTGTTATTACAACTTACAGATCAAACAGATACAGGTAGTGCTGTCAGTGCAAACAAATAATAATAACATTTACAACAATATCGTTCTCTTTTTTCTGAAACAACTTGGGAATAACAACAGTAAGTTTTGGAGCTGTGTAAGGTATAACCTTCTTACATCAATCGAATTTCTGTTCTCTGAATACAGTTTCGTTATAACTTTGGGTGCATCAATTGAAACTCTTCAGGATGATGGAAGTGCGTGGAGATTAGGCTCTGGTTTCCGGCCAGGGATTGGCTCCAAAAGTGGTGTGGCGACGCGCCTTTTTTTTAATCTCAACTTTTTTCCCCTAAACTTAATGTACGTATAACGCACGATGTCCATCGTCACTGCATGCGAACGTATCACCGCTCATATGCAACAAGGTATGAGACGGAGGGAACCCCCCTGCTTTGTGTTGGTTATTGTCTCGCAGGAATCTGGGGAATTCCTTTCAGACATCTTGGGGGGATGTGTTAAGTAACAATAACCTGGAATGTGTATAGGGATTGGACATGTTGGGGGGGCCCCTCGGTCTCATTTCTTGCTGGGTATATCACCGCTTGCAACACCGAAATAGACTGGCCCCCTCAATATTTACTATTTAAAAGCGTTTCAGATTGTAGAGGTACACAGGACATAATACCATCTGGTTTATGTGGTTCCCAGATTTAAATGTATAACACAGAAATAACGTCATCTGAGAAAAGTGCCTGGCTAAATGGATTGGGGCCTAGAGGGACTCCTTTATTGTACATATTACTCCACCGTGCCCGTCTAAAACACAGTCAATTACACAGGATTACAGTCAATCAAGCAAGTTTGGCTGCTTTTGGACATCGTATTATACCAAATGATGCTCGGCATCATTGTGCTGATGACTGGAACCGTTCAACAGGGCTTCAGTTTTCGAAGCATATCCAAAGAGTCTTTCCGAAATCGTCTGTTGGACACCCCGTAGATCAGAGGATTGACGACGTTGTTAATGTGCAGGACGCTTGCGCAGTGGTACACGACTACCAAGACGTTGTCATCGATGTCCGCGCCATTGTACTTGTGAAGTGCGACGGCGACATAGAGCCAGTAGGGCAGCCAGGTGATTAGGAATACCACGCTGGTGACGAACAGCATCCGAGTGGTCTTTCGCTGGAGTGAAACGGTCGGGTCATTCGAGATACCTTTCGCGGGTTGGGGTTGAAGTATCGCCGGTTGGTGCTCGCCGTCGCGGCCGATGGGTTGCAGGTCCCCAGCAGCATCAGTGGGCGTCGTCGATGTCGAGGGCCCCGCTACCACAGCTACTACCAGAGTGTTACTCGAGCTGGATGGTTGCAATCTACCAGAAACCCTTTCGGTATCTGTCGAAATCTGCGCTGCCAGAGTGTTGATGCTTGTGCCGATGGAGTTGTTTCCTCTGCGAGTTGTGGTGTTTGCATCCGCCGACCGGTTGGTCCGCAGTCCCTGGGAACTCAATGCACTGATTTTCAAGTGTTTTCGGATCGTTTGGTAAACCCTCCCGTAGCAGACTGCGATCACCAGCAGCACGGCCACGTACGGAATCAACTGGAACTCCAGAGCGGTCTTGATAGTCGTCGGGGAGGGGAAAATCTTGGCGACGGCGTATGGAATGCACCCGGCAACTGCACCGAGGCAGGAACCTAGAACCAGGAGCTTGGCTCTGCGGGGATTCAGCAGCCGTCTTCTCGGCCGGCACACGCAGTCGTACCTTTCCACGGCGATTGCACCCGTCAGTACGACGGAGGTGTACGGGGTGATGGTGCTGGCGAGTGTGGTCGCTATGAAGAAGATGGGCAGTTGTCGTCCGAGGAGGGCCGCGACGTGGTACGCGATATTGTGAATTCGTAGGGCGCAGGCCATCAGGTCAAACCAGGCGAGGCCTCGGATGAGGACGTGCGTGCTGGTCTTCTGGGGCTTGGACCCGTACACTCTGAGGATAAGGCTGTTGCCGCTTATGCCTAGGAGCATCACGCTGGTGTAGAAGATAATGTTCAGGATAGCAGTGATGATCACGCCGAAGTCGGGCCTGCGTACTACTGACCCGTAGGCTGTCGGGTCCGTGGCTGCTGTTGATAATTCCAGGCCAGATGCGTTGTCCATGTTAGTCGAAGGCGTTTAGGTGATTGCGCAGAGAAGCCGAGAATACACTAGTGAACAATTTGTGGTTGGATATGTGTATATAAATTGCGTTACCTTACGGCTAAAGGGCGTTTGCGAAACGAGTGGGTTCGGCTGAGACTTCGGTTTCGCTAGTTCTGGTCAGAGCTTGAATATGTACGTGTAGTTGGAACCAGGGAAACCAAAGTCTAAGCCACACCCACTCGTTTCGAAAACACACAATAATTATAAATCCTTAATGTACTGCGTCCTCCGTTGGCGGTGTCGTGCGCTACGGTGTCCCCTAAGTGCCATTGGACTCGACAAAATGCTCCAATTTCCCAGACCCTTTCTACCAATAAGGCCTACCACTTCAATGAGGAAGGGGTAGCGTGGCCTCGGGTGATCGTGGAGAGAAGCCGAGAATACACTGGCACCTCGTACGTGAACGTATACGTGTCACTTTAGGGGACGGGCGCACGCGCGACTTCTGCCGAAACTGTCTGTTAAAACTGTCCTCGTGGTAGTCCGTCGGATTGCAATGAGCCAACACTAAAAAACTTCATCAATAAAACGAAAAAAGTCTCAAGTTTAATTTTACTCGCTCTCGGGAAAAATACTACAGCCCTTTTTTTACCACAGACACTTGTAAATCAAATTTTAAAAACTTGAGTTTACAACTTGACCAAAGTTTTACATTTCTCAACCACTTTCCGAAATGAAAAAAGTCTGTCTTAACTGAGAACGAATAATTTTATAATTTAGACAAAGTCTCTTTTTTTGCGTCGACTTGGAATTCCCTCGTTTGTTCCTTCATCAACACAAACGACAGCTCTCTGCCTCTCGCTTTGGTTTCATCTTTACCCAGAAGAATTCTGCCACTTCTATCACATTGTCTGTCCCGTGATTTTGGTTCAGTGTGTTAGTAGATCCGACAGACACAAATCGTGGCTTTCTTGGAGACTTTCCGGTGAAATCTGGGGGGGAAATAAACGACAAATCAGTCATTCAGTTTTTGAAACCACATTTACCAGTAAGTAATGTTTCAGACGGTTCCCACTTCGATACAGTGAAGTCTCATTTTCTGAGCCTGATAGGCTCTATGCACTGTCATAAGTTTGTTTTTACTATATAGGCATTAATTAAATCGCACAGTGACAGAGAGTACGGGCACCGATATTTCTCAGCGAAAAGGGTATTTCTGGATGGCGAGTTATTTTCAGGCATTTTAGTGTTTAATTACAGCCACGTTTGCACCCTTGATTTTTTCATTTATCATCAAAATTACACATCAAAAGAGATATCCTCAGTGGTCTGCTCTACACGATGAACTGAAAATTGCTGATATGCAATCATTCACTTCAAACGTCTAGGCGTTAGAAAAAACACCTTGTCGAAAATATGGTTGAGAAATATGAATCAAGAATAACAAGTCCAATAAAATATTTGTCAACTCGTCCCGCTTTTGTTTGTTGATGGTCAACAGAGATGAAAAATCTTCAATTTGAGATCATCCAACTTAGTTCTGAAGGACTGAAATTCCCAGTTTGTATATAGTCAAATTCTCTGGGAGAGAGAGCATTTGTGGCCCACGAACTGTAGAAGATCTGTAGAAAAGACGGGTTTATGCAAGCCAAACGAATATCAGGTTGTGTCGGAGTGAGATTTGGAAGAAATCGGTGCCTGAAAACGGCCTATTTTTTGGGAAGCGTAGGCATCGATATTTCAAAAGTCGAGGGTCTCCGTGACTGCTTTTAAGGGGTAACCTGCCATGGAAAAAAATATGTACCTTCGAAAGTCATCCGTCAATGAATAGAAATTTGGAAAGAAAACGAAAAATCGTCAAATGGGCTGTCATTTGATGTGCGTCTCGAACGCCTGAGAACCTCCTGGCTATTTTTCGGGATTTTTGAAGTTCAAGTATCCCTTTCGAGGTCAGTTGTATTTGGGGGGCAGACCTGTCTGACCAGTGTTGGGTCAACCCTTCACAAGAAAGAGCGGCAGTTGCAACGTATTTTCGTCGCAGCTCCAGAGTGAAAATGTCAAATTACTCTGCTGTTGAAAGCGGACGAAATTAGTGAACAGGTAAATCAATAAAAAGGAGGCGAGTGCCGCCCGACTGTGCCATCCATGGATCTGTTACTGTTGATCCCTCCATTACGAAAGATTCATTAGATGCACCACTTCCTTTATGTTGAGATTGCTTAGAAGAAATGGACCCGAACACGGTTGGAACCGGCTTTATCGTCGAAAGCTTAGGACATTGAGATCATAAATGAGACCAAATCGGCGGTGATCTTTTAGCTCGCTGTATTGAATCCTAGAAACTTGTCTTGTGGGTTTTGCGCCCAGGGTAGTGAGAGAGAGAGAAAAAAAAAGCGTGGTGGGGGAAAAAATCTAAAAGTTATGCGGTGTTGACCAAGCTTTCAGGTGGACGGACTCCTGAAATTCGCAAGGAATTGCAGTTACCGGCTTTCATATGGGATTCTTGGGGTTCCCGGCCCACCGCACTTCCTCCCTGCCCATCCATTTTACCCCCAAAGGGTTCGAGCGGCCATGCAAGGGAGGAAACGAGACAAGCCCCTAATCCCTGGCCGCCGAGTCGACCATACGTCTCGAACCTATACTAAGGCGCTCACCTGGACTTCGCGAACAGTCCCAGCAGAAGAGCTTACCCGGTCGGCTAAGGTACTGTTGGTATTTGGCGGGGTGCATTATAGACTGTTATAGCTACCTTTTGACAGCGAGAGTTGGGAGAATAAAACACACACACCACTGGGATTCGAACCCACCGTCTAATCATCGGATAACCGTGACGTATTTCCTTCCCCCAAATCTGTGCAAGGGCATCAGCCCACGAGTGAACCATTCCCCCCTATATTCTCGGGCTCTTAGTCTGGTGTCTAATTGGATTAGGCTTTTATCCGATATTGTTATCATGCACATTCGTCAGCGTTGAGTCTTCAGAAACTACTCTTGAGACGAGATTACTTTTTACGTATACAGATCAGCTAATGCATAAGTTTTTTTTTTTCCAAAGGCGATTTCCGCTACATTTAAAATAAAATCATATACTTCAGTTTGTACTATAGTTTTCCTTATTGTAAATTCTTTCAACTTTAGTCTCATTCCCTAACTGTGCTAAGTGCGAAAAAATTCAACTTTTCTTTTTATCTTGGTTGAATATTCGAAATTGCTTTTTGCTAATGATAGCGATAACATCAGTTCCATTTAAGTGTATGATGCACATAGCATACACGATATCAACTTTGTAGGTGCATTCAAGATGTCTTATTGCCGATTTGATCTATTTGCTCGCTGGAACGGTGCGCACAATTTCACTGTGACTTGTTAGTGGCCTTTTAAAATTGAATTCAGGCTTTGTTACAGCTATCTTCATTTGTAGTAACTATAATCTAGGCATTAAAAACAACGAAAGTTATACCTCTGTACCTTGAAACACCTGAAGGAATTCCAAGCCCACCGCGTTTACCCGCATCTCACAATTTTAGGCAATAAATGCAGATTGGTTACATCAGCCAATGGGCCACTTTTTAATCGGCATGGTTCAGTCCTACAGAT